GCAAGAGTGAAGGATCACTGCTACTCATGTGACGCTGATCTCTGCGAGCTATTTTAACGACACTTGGTCACTGTTGCGTCTGTGCAAACATACTCGGCCCTGCTTGCAAACAAACATCATCTGACTATGATTGACCGATCGACCAGGGTTATTAGAAATATATATCACTTGTATAGATCTAGTGTGTATTTCTGACAGTGCGTATTTTGACAAAGGTAAGCTGATGTGTAAGAGCAGGCGGGAGGGAGGGAGGAGAAAATGGACGAGGATGGGGGAGTGGGCTAGGTACCAAATTAAAAAAAAAGTTTTTTAGAATTGAGCAAGAACTTTATTTGCACTGCTTTAGTGCTGACCAGATGTTCACCGATCGAACTTATGTAGTTTGCTGTCTAGTCATTTAATTTGATTGATATCGCAATGATGGTTAACGTGTCTAGTTAGTCTAGCACGTTGTCACTGGTCGATCTCATAATACTTACAGAATTACCAGACTTGACAGTGAGCTATGAGTGTAAATTTCTTTGTCCAACTTAAGAAGTGAACGTATTGTGGCCACTCACAGTCTTGCTTTACAATTTCTTTTTATGACTTGATGTCACGATCTTTTATATAACAATATCTGGCAGATTCAAACTGTCCTTGTCTCTTCGTAGTGGTATGAAACAACAAACAACAACAACTCTCTCTCTCTCTCTCTCTCTCTCTCTCTCTCTCTCTCTCTCTCTCTCTCTCTCTCTCTCTCACTGCCTGCACACACACACACACACACACACACACACACACACACACACACACACACACACACACACACACACACACACACGCATTCATCCACTCACATAAGCGCGTACACAGATACATTTCATAATTTGTATCAGGAGTTTAGCAAACAATCAAAACCCATCCATCTTCTGTACACGTTGAAGATTCACAGATGTCCGTTTTCCCACCGCGATTAGTACAGGGGAGACAAATCAATGACTGTGTGAGCGGGAACGACTGAGAAAGCTGTGACATTCCGATGTGACCCCGTCTTCTTGCATATTTAATTCTTCCGGGCTTGCGAGAATGTGGAAGTGTCGTTCAGAGAAATAGCTTCTCTTCTTTTTTTTGACCGAATATTCAAGATTAAAGTGAGATCAAGCGTGAGAGTGACAGGGCCAGTTTTTGTTGCTAGAACCGCTACTTTAACTCTTTCTCGATGTAGAGGACGCAATACATGTCCGATCATGTAGCGGTCTAATTTGAGCCGCCATACACAAATCAGAAACACGAATTTGCTTATTTCATGTTATGCATTTAGTTGTTTGCAATTCTAAGCCCAATATGGATAATTGAATTGATAAAAATCTGTATGAATGACAAAGTTATCGATTTTTTAAAGTTCTCCCCAAAAAGCTTTTTTTTCAGGCGTTGTCTAATGACCAGTCCTCGTCTTCACCAGACTAACTCAGAGAAAGCCCAGAAAATTGTTTTTGCTAATACTTACTTATTTACCCCCTCTCTCCCTATACCGTGAAGTACATGAGGCGGAGTACACGCTTGTCTTGTTTACTTGTTTACTTGTATGAAGGACCGACATCACTGCACAAGGGGCATTCCCATATAAGCGCTCCGTCCCCTGAAGAAGCACGACATCTCGAAGTGTGTAGATGCTGACGGTTCCAAGCAATGGTTGATTCCATAGCCTTCTGCTCCTCCCACTCAGTCTTGAACTTCTGCAAGCGTCCCTTCCAATTTCAAGCTCACGAAGTCGCTCAAGATGATGGTATTCAGTCTCTTCTTGTTCTTTTTCTCTTTTTTCCTTGACTGACCGTACAATTTCGTGTTTGTCAGGGCACAGCTTCCCTTCCGGTTTTGCTTTCTCAGCGAGCTCATCAGCTCGCTCATTGCCCTTGACTCCAGCATGGCCCGGGGTGAAGATCCACGTGATCTTTTTCCGTGTTTTCTTCTTCAGGAGCTCTGTCCATTCAGCTCTAAGGTTCCCACTTTCAACATTTCAGCGTAATCACTACCTTCCCAAAATCTCCCTGCTGCCTCTCATTCATCTTTATCCATTCTTCACCCCGCTTTATATCTTCCAGTTTTCAGCCTCAGCCATCCAAGAAGCTCCTCATTTTAGGCGATTTCCCTAAATTGCCCCCAGGCTTGTCTGTCCCAGGCCACGTTCTCCAATTTCGGCACATCCAGACCTTGGGTGATTGACCCATCCCTTGTTGTGCTTCCATAGCTTCCAGTTTTTTCTTCGTGTACTTTTTCCAGTTGGTCTTCAACACCATGTCTGACAGGACAATCTTGTCTTCGGCATTTTTAGAACATGTTCTAGATATCTCCTTCTTCTTCTTTTTGTTGTTGTGTTGATGCCTTCAATTCCAGCTCTTTCCAACTCTACATTATTTGCAAATAGTGTTGTTTTATATGACTGTACGAAGTCATGATGACGTTATAGAATGTAAAAAAAGGGGTTAATGAACTAATATTGAGCATTGCATGGGTCAAAGTGTCCCTTGAACATTTATTTTACTTTTATCCGCCGCTTATACCCTTTTGGGTGTCGCGGGAAGAAAGAGACGTCTCTCTGCCACCAGCCGGAGAGCTTGGGTCAGGGGATGCCGTGAGTTGATCATGTTTCCCTGACTCTATCTATCCATGTCTTTCTCGGTCGCCGTCTAGCCTTGTTGCCGTCGAATTTTATGTAGGCAATGTCGAAATGTCGAAATGTAAGAAAGCTGTCAATTCTGCTGAGTAACACGTCTTTGGTATGTAAGACTTGAGGTGCTGGGGGCTGGGG